TAAGACTGGTTTCATTGTATCCCATAGATTCTGATATGTTGTATTGTCATTGTCATTTAATTGAAGGAACTGTCTGATTTCTTCTTTAATGTCCTCTGTGACCCATTGGTTATTCAGAAGTGTGTTGTTCAATTTCCATGTGTTTATGTAATTTTTGCCTTGTCTTCTGCTATTGATCTCCAATTTCATCGCGCTATGTTCTGATAATATACAGGGGATAACTTCAATTCCTTTACACTTACTTAAACATGTTCTGTGTGTGAGTATGTGGTCTAGTTTGGAGAATGACCATGTGCAACTGAGAAGAATGTGTATTCTGATTTTGTGGGGTGGAAGACTGTGTAAACATCTGTTAAGTTCATTTGTTGAAGAGTTCGATTGAGTTCTAGTATTTCATTACTTATTTTTTGTGAACTGTACTGCAATAAATATGGGTATACAAGTATCTCTATAGTAGGATGACTTTAATTCTTTTTTTTTTTTTTTTTGGTACTGGAGATCGAACTTGGGACCTTGCACTTGTGAGGGGCGTGCCGGAACCACTAAGCTATATTCCCAGCCCGACTTTAATTCTTGCATATACTAAGGAGTAGTATAGCTGGTTTATGTAGATATTATTACTTTTTTTTTTAGGAACTCCATATTGATTTCCATAGTGATCTAGGTTTACATTCCTACTCCAGTTATAAAGTTCATTTTTCCCTGAATCCTCATCCGCATTTATTGTTTTTTGTATTCTTGGCAATAACCATCATACTAGGGTGAGATGGACTCTCAATGTAGTTTCAATTTGTATTTGTCTGATGGATAAAGATGTCTGTTGAACATTTTTCATATAATTATTGGTCATTTGCATTTTTTTGAAGAAGTGTTTGTTCTCTTGATATGCTTATTTTTGATTGGGTTATTTATTCTTTTGTAGTTGAGTTCTTTGAGTTCTTTATATACTCTGGATATTAATCTTTTATCTGAAGAGTAGCTGGCAAAGATTCTGTTCCCATTCTGTAGGTTCTCTACTCTTTTGTTTTCCTTTGTTGTGGAGAAGCTTTTTATTGTTCTTAACATTATTTCCTGAGCTATTGGAATCCTATTCAGGAGGTTATCTGTGCCTATGTCTTGAGGTGTTTTCCCTATGTTTTGTTTTAACATTTCAAAGTTTCAGGTCTTATGTCTAGGCTTTTGATACATTTTGAGTTGATTTTTGTATAGGGCTAGAGATGGGAATCTAGTTTCAATCTTGTATGTATGGATAATCAGTTTTCTCAATACCATTTGTTAAAGAGGCTGTCTTTTCTCCAATTTGTTTTTGGGCCCTTTGACAAGAATCAGTTGGCTGTAGCTGTGTAGATTTATTTCCGTTCCTCTATAGTATTCCATTGGTCTGTATGCCTATTTTTGTACCAGTACCATGCTATTTTGGGTTAGTGTGACTCTGTAGTATATTTTGAAATTGGGTATTGTGATGCCTCCAGTATTCATCTTTTTGCTCAGGATTGCTTTGGTTATTCTGGGTCTTTGTGTTTCCATTATTAGATTTAAGGTTGGTTTTTTTGTACTTCTGGAAGAATGTCATTGGTGTTTTGATGGGAATTGCAGTGAATCTGTGGTTGTTTTTGGTAAAATGGCTTTTTTGCAACAATATTATTTCTGCAGATCCATAATCATGAGAGGTCTTTCCATCTTTTAATGTCTTGATGAATATAGGCACAATAATCTTTAATAAAATACTTTCAAACAGAATTCAATAATACCATAATCATCTTGATTTCATTCCCAGAATGAAGTTTCTTTTGTTTCTTTTGTTAGTGTCATATAATTTTTTCACTGTAGAGGTCTTTCAACTCCTTTGTTAGGTTGATTCCTAGGTATTTTAATTGAATTCTTTTTGAAACTATTGTGAATAGAATTGTTTTCTTGCTTTCTTTCTTAGCTAGTTCATTATCGGTGTACAGAAAAGCTGTTGATTTAGTATCCTGCCACTTTGGTGAATTTGTTTATCAGATCTAAAAATCTTTTGGGGGAGCCTTTACGGTTTTCTCCATATAGGGTTATATCATCTGCAAATAAGAATAATTTGACTCTTCCTTTCCTATTTGTGTCCCTTTTATTTCTTTACTGGCTAAAGTAGGAGTGTAGAAAGTGAACATCTTTGTCTTGTTACTAATTTTAGAAAAAATATTTTCAGTTTTTTCTCCATTGTGTATACATTTCTCAGATGTAGGCTTTATCTTAAATATGTTCCTTCTATACCTAGTTTCTTCAGGGATTTTATCATGAAGGGATGTTGAATTTTTTAAATGCTTTTTCTGTATCAATTGAGATGATCATGTGATTTTTTTTCATTCTTTATTCTGTTTATGTTTATGTGGTGTATTATGTTTATTGGTTTGTGTATATTGAACATTCCTTGCATTCTGAGAATGAAACCAAAATGATCATGGTGTTATTGAATTCTTTTTGGAAGTATTTTATTAAAGATTATTGTGCCTATATTCATCAAGTATATTAATCTCTAATTTGTGTGTGTGTTCCTCTATCAGGTTTTGATATCTTGATGATAATTGGCTTCATAGAATGAATTTGGAAACAGTCCTTCCATTTTAGTTTCATGCAGTAAGTAGTTTGAGGAGCATTGGGATTAGATCTTTAAAGGCCTGGTAAAAATTCTGCAACAAATCTATTTAGTCCTAGGCTTTTTATTGTTGGGCTACTTTTTATTACAGTTTCAATCTTTGCTTGTTATTGACCTATTTTGGTTTATATACTCTTGGTTCAATTTTGTTAGGTCCAGTGTGTCTAGAAATTTATCCATTTCTTCTAGGCTAAGGTTTTGGCATATAGGTTTTCAAAATACATCCTAATGTTCCTCTGGATTTCAGTGATGCCTGTGGTAATCCCCCTTTTTTACTCTAATTATATTTATTTGGTTCTTGTCTTTCTTTCTTTTGGTTAGTTTGGCTAAGGGCTTATCAATCTTGTTTATCTTTTCAAAGAACCAACTCTTTGTAGCATTGATTCTTTGATTTGTTCTTTTAGTATCTATTAATTTCAGCTCTAATCTTTATTACTTTTCCTTCTGTTAGTTTGGCTTTAATTTGTTCTTGTTTTCCTTTGGCCTTGAGATGCATGATTAGGTTATGTGTTTGAAGTCTCTGATTTTTTGAAATAGGCACTTAAAGTTATAAAATTCTCTCTGTATGTACTGATTTTGTTGTAGCCCAGAGATTCTAGTATATTATGTTTTCATTCTCATCTGATTCCAGAAATTTTTTAATTTACCCTTGATTTCTTTAATAACTTACAAATTATTCATAGGTGAATTTTTCATTCTCCATGTTTGTATAGTTTTTCTTGCTGTGAATGCTAGCTTTTTTTGTTTTTTGTTTTTTTGCTTGTTTTTGAGACAGGGTCTCACTATGAGGTTCAGGCTGGCCTTAAACTCACTATGGAGCCCATGCTGGCCTCCAACTCATGGTGATCCTCGTGCTTCAGCTTCCTGAGTTCTAGGATTACAGGGATGTGCCACCATGCTCTGGATTTCTAGTTTCATTCCATTATGATCTGATATTATGACAGACATTATTTCAATATTTTTGTATTTGTTAAGACTTCCTTAATGGTCTAAAATATGATATATTGTGGAGTAACTTACATGAATTGCTGAGAGGAATGTGTATTCTGCAGTTGTTGGATGGAATATTTTATGTTTAGGTTTATTTGATCTATACTGTAGTTAAATTCTGGGTTTTTTAATAAATTTTTTTTGTCTGGATGACCTGTTTATTGATGTGAGTAGAATTTTCAAGTCATCCAGTGTTATTGTATTGGGATATATGTGTCTTTTCATGTCAGGTGGTGTTTTATGAAATTGGATCTGCTGGTGTTCTGTGAATATATATTTTAAATTGTTATACCTTCTTGGTAGGTTGGTCCCTTTACCAATATGTACTGACCTTCTTTGTATGTTCTGACTAATTTTGACTAGGAGTCTGCTTATTTGGATATATCTACTCTTGACAGGTTCTGGATCCATGTGCAGGTAATATCATTTTCCATCTTTTCACTTTCAGTCTGTGTCTTTGCTGGAGAAGTATGTTTCATGCAGGCAGCAGAGTTGTATCTTGTATTTTAATCTAATCTGCCAGTTAGTGCCTTTTAATTGGAGAATTAAAACCATTGATATTCAGGGTTTCTATTGAAAGGCATGTACTAATTCCAGTCATCTTGTTTTGCTATTTTTTTTCAGATACCTACAACTTTGAACCTAGATGGATTTGTTCCTCAGAAGCAAGATCTTTTTGAACACATGATGATAAACTCATTTCAAAGTACTTACAGTACTTTATAGTATAGTATTTTATAGAATAAGTACTTTTGCTTATCTTCATTGTATTCTATGGGAAAATTTTTAAGTAATTAAATGTTCTTGAAACACAGTTGTTCAAAAACAAAAAGCATGATGTGCCATAAAGGCAACTAATCCAAGTTTCTTCATGGACCAGAATATCATGAAAATATTAGATGTAAAGTAATAAAGACTATTTCCAATAGAAAAATACAACTGGATATGGTTAGATATGGCAGTAGGCCTTTTTTCACTAGGGTCTATGTGTAGTTTCTAAGGAGTAGAGTGGGTATTATGCCTGAAGAATCCCCTCTGTAGTAATCAAAACAGTAGCAATTTGTGAAGAACTGAAGACAGGAAATCAGTACTCATTCTTTTTTTTTTTTTTTTTGGTACCGGGGATCGATCTCGGGTCCTTCCACTTGCGAGGCAGGAGGCGAAACCACTGAGCTAAATCCCTGGCTCTCAGTACTCATTCTTACTAGGTAGCTAGCAAGAAATTCAGAAATTTCTTGAATTATCTCTGGGTAATTGAGTACAATAAGATATATACTGAGTTCTATTGAGAATTTCAGTAATTTTAAAATGTTTGAAAGCAAAATCAAAAGCTCAAAAATATATTTGGTAAAGGGTCTGAGGGTATTTTTTAATTGTTTAGTGAATATGTGATGATTAAAAATAATTTTGCAGTTCAAAATCTTGTGAATTGTCTTAGCTACTTTTTCTTGTTCCTGAGACAAAATACCCAATACCCAAAGTTAAAGAAGAATAGGTTTATTTAGCTCACAGTTTGTAGAATTTTTAGCCCATAGTCAGCTTGCTCCAAAGAAAGGCATCATGGCACAGGTGCATTGCAGAGAAGAAATAGTTCATGGCATAGCAGGCAGAAGGCAGAGAGCAGCAAGCAATAGTCTGCCTCTCCTTTTTATTCTTTCCACCTGCCTTTGGGTGGTGCCACCCACACCCAGGGTAGGCTTTCCCAATTATCCATTCCTAGAACTATGCTAAATCAATAATTGAACCAATTATATATCATACACCCTTAATCCCAGCATCCACCCACCCTACATCTAGCCACCTCTGAAAAATCCCACCTGTGACTACATGAGGCTTTTGGGGAGACATCTCGGTACAAGCCATAACATCACTTAAGATATACTCGGTACCTCCTTATCTATTTATCAAATTTAATTTTTACTTTGTTATGCTGTGTCTGTTTGAAGTGGTTACTTTTTCTTCAAGAGGCCTAGTGAGATAAAAAAAATGGTGAATAGCTTAATTTATTCAAACAATCACTATTCAACTGATAAATTTGTTACCATATTCAGTATATCAAAAGCCTTACAGGTGCTCGCTCCTAGCTTTTGACTCAGAAATTATACTTATAGGTCACATCTCCTTCATATTACACAGCACATAATATGAAATGTCTACAATGTTAACATATAAAAGCTATGTATAAATTGAATCACATTGATACTTTTAATAGTGCAAAATAAAGAAACATTTCAGTGCTTACTCATACAGAGATGAGTAGGAAAATTAACATTCTCCCATACAATGCATGGTAACAGTAAATGATCTTTGAGAAGAGTTTGTTTTTTGAGATATGTTAATGTATATTAAAAGAAAAACATTAATAAATTGTGTGCCTCTGTGAAAACGTATATAGAGTAAAAATTGTTAGACCTACTAACAGGTTTTTCTCCAGGTAGTGAAATCATAGGTAATTTTTCTGTATTTTCTAAACTTACCATAATCATCTTATCTGATTAATATTCAGAATAACGTTATTGAAGTGGTTCTCATTGTGTAGTTAAGGCTCATGCATACCAAAAAAGAAGCAAACATCTACTCAGAGCATTGCCTTAGATTGCAAGGTACAATCTGTTCACTAAGAAATTTTTATACTTTGTGGGGTAACTAATTATCTCAGGAAAAAAAAGTAGCCTTAACTTGACCCTTTGCTTTGTTGTTATTGTCGTTTGGTGTGTTTGTCTTTGCTAAGCATTTTTCCAATGTTTCTTTTGTTTTTGTAGGATATTTTTGCTCTGCCTTTTTTCCATTCTTCAAGCCTAGAAGAATGTGTCTGTAGTTCAAATAACCTCATCTTTGGTGTTTTCAGATGTATGGTCACTATTTTTTTTTTTTTTTTGGTACTGGGGATCGAACTCGGGACCTTGCACTTGTAAGGCAGGCGCTGGAACCACTGAGCTAAATCCCCGGCCCCGTATGGTCACTATTGTAATGAATGCTATTATAAGTAAGAGAAGTTTGAATACTTTTTTTCCTTCTTATTATACAGAAAGATTTACCAACAAAAGCAAAAGCAAATTGTAGACTGCTTTGAAAAATACTCCTATGGACAATTTGATCTTGGCACTTTAATGGCATACTGTCTTACAGTATTATTTAAGTGTTTTACTTTGCTTAGTTTTCTTTCTTTAGTATTTATAAGTTCATTAGATCTTTGAGTATCTTGGTGATCTCTGTAGTACCCTAATGCACAATTACACATAGAGCACTTTTATTGAATGAATAAATGTAACCCCTTTTTTTGGTATTGATTCGAGGTCTAAAATAAAATATTCTTTAATGAGTGCAAAATTTCTGAATCATGAATGAAATTTAACTTGCTACATCTGACTCAGCTAACTGAATAGAATGGATGTTTCCTGTGCAATTTGAGAATCCTCTGAGCTGATTTCCAAAAACAAAAGATTCAAATGAAAACATTTAAATAATTTTAATAAGTTCATAAACATTTAAGTAATTGTAAACCATTTGAATAATTTTATACTCTGAGAATAGTGACATTTGTCATATGGACAACCAAGAATAGTGCGAGTTTTATTTTCTATTTTATATAGCATTTGATTTCATTGAATCCTAACTCCTTCCAGGGCTGTTATAATTCTTTTTCTTTGATTCTGTGTTAATGTTATGTTCTTAGTATGTATCAAATTTATTTTAAGTAGCTTATTAGTCCTAGTTACTTATTATACTTGAACTTTTTCTTGCTTGGGTTATTTTATCATGTTTTTGTTTTGGTCTTCTCTCTCATTAAATAATGTTTGTTGTTACCACTGTAAATGAGAGTGAAGTGATTTATAGAGCATTCTCAAATATATTAAATTTATATGTAGTCATCAAAATATATGAAAAGACATGATTCCATTAAGATTTATCCCAGTTTAATTTTGTTTCCTTTGTTTTTCTTGAAGATTATTAGTTACACTGGATATGCTGCTGTTCTTTACTTTGGGATTGATCGTACATTTTGTGTTCTTCGCCTCCATCTTTGACATTTACTTTACATCTCCTTTGGTTCATGGAATGACTCCTCAGTTTACACCATTGCCTCCTCCAGCAAGAAGATTAGTGCTTTTTGTGGCTGATGGCCTGCGAGCAGATACACTTTATGAATTAGATGAAAATGGAAACTCAAGAGCGCCATTCATTAGGTAAGCATGTCACTAATACATAGACATCTCAGAAACGTTATCCTAAGTTCAAGTAAACAGTAAAATATTTTACTATTTAACTAACATTGGGCACAGAGAAGGTAATGAGAAACAGAATAGGGCACTTGTACATTTTTCTTTGTGTTATGCATTAGCGCTATGATGCCAGTTTCCTTCTAGGTGTTATTTCTACTATTGTAGAAGCTGGTATCATATGAGTTGGAATGTGTGACCTTAGCTTCTTTGGCAAACTTGTCCTAACTTCCCAAACCTGGCTCACAACCCCCTATATTATCTTTCCTTGTTCTTTTTTCTTTCCTTCTTTTTGTTGGACTGGTGATTGAAATTAGGGGCTACTGAGCTATATCCTCAGTCTTTTTTATTTTTTATTTTGAGTCAAGGTTTTACTAAGTTGCTGAGGCTGGGCTTTAACTTGCCATCTTTCCTGCCTCAGCCAATATTATCTCTTACTTAAAAAATAAGCCTGTTATTTTTTTCTTTAATAATGACAAGCATAAATATTAATAAGTTACTATTTACAATAGTGTTTAGAAAATGTAGGTATAAAATATAAAAAAAAATAAAATTCAAAATTAAAGAATTAGAAAGCTTTTAAATCTGTATCACTATTTAATGTATGTCTGGCTTCTATAACTGGCTTTGGAAAGAAATATTTAATTCTTTTGACTTATGAGACTTCTATATATAATTGTTCTTTTTCTGATTAATGGCAAGCCCCTCAAAAGCCCTTCATGTCATAATTACTTTCTATCCCTTTACTCTGTTTTATTTTCTTTTATAATGTTTATCATTGTGTGATTTCCATGAGGAATGGGACTTAACATTACATTTTATCTGCAGTTCCTAGAATACATGTAGAGAATGTCTTAGTTACTTTTTTTGTTCCTGAAATAAAATACCTGACACCCAAAGTTAAAGGAGGAAAGATTTATTTAGTTCACAGTTTGTAGAGGTCTCAGTCCATCATCAGCTAGCTCCAAGGATGGATGGCATGGCAGGCAGGCATTGCAGAGGAAAAATAGTTCATGAGGGGCAGAAGGTAGCAAAGCAAGCAAGGGGCCTTAGCAGCTTTTTTCTGCCCCTTTTTTATTCTATCAAGGGTACCTGGATTAGGGCGGTGCCAAACCAATCAGTGGACTGATTTAGTAATTACCCACCCTAAATCCTAACATTGTAACATTAATCAATCACACACTCTAGATCCAGCTACCTCTGTAAAAGCTCCACCTATGACCACATAAGGCTTTTGAGGGGACATCTAAACACAAGCCATAACAGGCAATTAACAAGTATTTGTTGACTGCCAGATTGAATGATCTTCAATACTGTGTTGAATTTCCAGAAATAAACTTGTATTGGCTTAATGATATATATATAATAAATAAGTGAGCAACAAAATAAGATTAAACTAGGGTTAAGTATAGTACACAAAAATATTTAACATAAATTTCTACAAATAATTAAAATATTTGTATAATATATTTAGGTGAATTTCTTATTTGCCCAAGAAAAGACAAATATAGTTTGTTTCAGGTTTTCTTTGTTTTTTGTTTTTGCTGGGGATTGAACCTTGGGCCTTGCACATGCAAAGGATTCCCTGTACCACTGAGCTACATGCCCATCCCTCAGAATTTTTGAGATTAAAAATATGTTGGTTATTGAGGAAAAGTTAAACTTTCTTGGTAGTACTTCTTTCTCCTGTGGGACTTACTGAAGAGAACATTGCAGGCTGTTGTCTTGAACGGTCTATGTATTTTGGATTGCAAGTCATTCTATATATACAATTTGAGGAATCTTCTAGCTTCTTCTAAACCTTTTTTTGAAAGGTTTTGTTTTTGAAAAAATATAACCTAATGTTCTTAAAAAGAAATATTTCTTTATACCTCCTCTTTGTGTTTTATTCAGGTTTTCAGGATATAACTCAAGAAGTTAAAGAATTTTTCCCTTAATAGTTGATCCAGTGGTTTTAAAAGTATTTACTTATTATGTATGTTTTGCCAAGACCAGTTTTATTATAAGGTCAATCAGTAGTAGAAGAACTTAAATGAGTAATTATAAAAAAAATTTTAGAACGTAATGAGAGTCAAGCATTTATCTCGAAAATGTTATTTGTGCATTCACTGTTGTATAACTTGTTGCTTTGCTGGCCTTCCACTTGGAATGGCATCACTGGGGGTTTTCATTTCTTCCTCACATTTCTCAAATCACTGTAATATAACTTAAATAATCTTCACACATTTTAGCAAAAGAAAAATTTTGCCTGTTTTAATCTCAAATTTAGGAATGTAATTTAACCCCTAATTAGGAGTATAGCCATTTTTCCTCCCCTTAGCTTTTTAAAGAATTTTTCAAGTAAACAAAAGTTAAAAGGATTATATGATAAGGATCTGTATACCTTAACTTTGTTTAACAATTTCTAACTTTTTAAATATTTGCATTCAGTATCAACACACACATACATACACCCCTTCACCCTCCCACACACAGGTGTGCATGTGCACCTGCCTATTTTTAATTATTTTTTTCCTGAACAATTTGTAGATAAGGCATTGTGACATTTCACCCCTAAACACTTCAGCACTTATGTCTTAAGAGCAAGGACTTTTTCTTACATAACCACAATACTGTCATCATCACAAATAAAATTTAACACTGATATGTAAATAATATTGTATACATCAGTTATATCTGTATAACAAACCATCTCAGTATTTTGTGCTTAGAGCATCAATAGTGTATTTTGTTTCATGATTCTGTATAGTGGTTGAGTAGTTCTTTGTCCATTTTACCTGTCTCACTCATGCTACTGCATTAAGTTGTCAAAAAGGCTAGGCTGAAGTGGGTTTTGAAAGACTCTTCTTTCTTAATTTTCAGCTCTTTTGTTTTGATTTTATACTGCTAGGCAAGTGCTCCACCCCTGAGGTACATCCCCCTCCCCTACTCTTGGTTTTGATTTCTTCTGTAAAAATTTTATTTTTCTAAAGTCTCATGAGGGTCTATGCTAACTGTTCATCTATATTGTCTTTTAGGAATATCATAATGCATGAAGGCAGCTGGGGTATATCTCATACACATGTGCCAACGGAATCTCGGCCAGGGCATGTAGCCCTGATAGCTGGGTTTTATGAAGATGTCAGTGCAGTTGCCAAAGGTATTGTCTACTTAAACAATTTAATTAAACGTTATGTTATAAATTGAAAAGTGTATTTTGAGATACTTTTGACAAATATTTTATCATGCTTTACTTACGTGAACATATACTGGTATTGAATCTGGAATTAAGCTTTAGTTTTTTATCATGCTGTGCTATTGAAAGAATATGGTTGGGGGCTAGGGATGTAGCTCAGTAGCACTGCACTTGCAGGCAAGCACAAGGTCCTGAGTTCTATCCCTGGTACCAAAAACCAAAAAGAAAAAAGAAAAAGGAAGAATATTGTTGGATGTGTGGTTTTCCTAGATGTTACTCTCAAGAATTCAAAAGTGATTTTATATTTTAGTAAGAAATAAGTTATCTCCTGTTAGGTTTTTAAAATAGTGATATAATATGCATAACAATCTGTCATTAGTTTTGTTTTTGTTCTCCAACTAATAATACTATTTGAAGAATAGGTCTTTTGGGGTTTATTTCATTATGTATTTTTTGCTATTGTTATTACTTGCTTTTTTTCTCCATTACCTGAAGGGTGGAAGGAAAATCCTGTAGAATTTGATTCTCTTTTTAATGAAAGCAAGTACACATGGAGCTGGGGAAGTCCAGATATCTTGCCTATGTTTGCCAAAGGTAAGAGTCATTGATTGTATTCCCTCAGCTAGCCAATAGGTAATAAATCACTATGCTAAATTTTTTATATCTCTGAAATAGGAATGTATATTACAGCAGATAGACATGCTGGTTTAATTGGCAGTGTGCCCTCCGCTGTACTTGGAAATAATGGCATATTGTAGTGTTAGATAATATTTCAGAATTAAGAAAATGGTATATGGCTCTATCCCTTAACAACATTATAATCTTTAAGTTTTATTTTATTGGCACATTTTAGGTATACAATATAATGACATTCATCATTGGAAATTTGCACCTTTACATAGTCTCTCTTGGTTCTTATTTTTCCCCCTTCCCCTGCCTTCCCTTCAATCCCTCCCTGTTTACAAAGACTTTGTTTCCATTTTTTCATTTTCTCATTAATTCCATTCCCTTCTTTCCTTTCCCCACCCCTCCTACTTCCCCTTCTGCTTTGCCCCTTTTCTTCCTATTTCACATTATCTATTATACCTTTTAGTCCTTATTTACACTTTCATTTTCTCACACTGGAGAAACTATTCGATATTTACACATATGTGTCCTATTTATTTCACTTAAGAGTATTGCTTCAATGTGCATCCACTTAGCTATAAATGTCTCTAATTTCTCATTTTTTATGGCTGAGTAGTACTCCATTTTATTAAAAACCCACATTTTCTTTATCCGGTCTCCAGTTGATGGGCATTTGGGCTGTTTCCAAGTTTTAGCTATTACACACTGTGCTGCTATGAACATGGGTGCACATATATCACTGCGGTATGATTCTTTTAATTCTTTGGGGAAGATCCCCAGCAGGGAATAGCAGGGTCCAATGGGACTTCCAATCATAGTTCTTTGAGGTATCTCCATGCTGATTTCCACAATGGTTGCACCAGTCTACACTCCCACCAGCAATGGAGCAGTGTTCCTCTTTCCCCAGAGCCCCGCCAGCATTTGTTCTTGGTTGATTTCATGATAGCAGCCATTCTTTCTGGAGTGAAGTGGAATCTCAGCATTGTTTTCATTTGCATCTCTCGAATGACCAGTGTTGTTGAACATTTTTTCATATGTTTATTTGCTATTTCTACTTCTTTAACAACATTATAATCTTGAATATATTAGATAACTTCTGTGAACTTCAGTTTTCCTTTTTGTAAAATGTGTAAAATTTTTGCAAAATTATTAATTTTTTACCTCATAAGTTTGTTTTTAGTATTAAATTAGATGATACATGTGAAACAGTTAACAGTGTTTACACATAGCTTCATTATGTTAATGTCTGGTTCATTACTCTTCCATAAATTGCTAAAAATTTTAATATATATTCACATAAATATTTAAACATTAAATTTGTATTCATAATTTCTACAGTATTTCAATATATTGACTGTGTCATATATTTTAACATTTGATATATATAGCATTCATGTGGCATTTACTATACTGAAATGCCATATATTCAATTCGTGATATTGAATATGACATTTGGGTTTGTTGTATTTATTTATGTACAGAAATATACAAGTACTAAAATATCAGTTGATTAGAAAATTCATTTATTATTATTTTATAATGTCAGTTGGATAAATTTCATGTCCTCAGTGTTTTTTACTGGGAACACAATGATTGGTCATTTCACTTAATTGAAAAATTTTGTAACATTATTCATAGCCGTGGGTGTAATTATAATAATTGGAACTATTGAAGATTATTATGTGTCCAGAATAAAAATATATATATTCAGAATTTTACATATGATATACGTAGAACTTTATTATGCTGGACAGGCTAAATTATTCAAATTTCTTTCCTTTATGTATTTCCTTCTTTGGGAATCACTTTAGCTTTTTGAGCGGCTGATGGTGGTGAAGACAGATTTAATTGCTATGGCTTTTCAAGTTAACCTTCCTACTTATGGCTATAGTTTATGGTACATGATCAATGCCTGAATCAGACATTATCCAATAGGATTATTCTGTTTTTTATGGTAACTACATAACCCACTAGGATGTCTTTATTTGGGCTGTACGAAGTAGAATAGCTAAGCAGAGGAATAGCAGAGAAATGGCTGAGCTGGGTCATTAGAGCTGAACTGATGTTATAAAAACTGTCTTTACTTCTTATATTTCTTCCTTATAACTTGAAAGTGCCCATCAAACACAGAAATTGATTAGCTTATTAATAATCTTGCAAATCTATAAAATTAATATTTTGTTAATGTCTCCAAACTTTGATAGTAAGCAATATTCCCTTATATGGAGAAAAATGGACATAGTCTATGAATAAGAAAAGAAATATTTGAATTTTCTTCTTGCTTTAGGAAGGTTTATATAGTAGATTTTTTTGTATATGTGCTGCCAAAGCAAGCACTATATACCAGATTTTTAAAATGTATTTTACATTGTGACTTCCTAAGAAACATACATTTTTAAATAGTTTAATCCTTAAAAGAAGGGAAACTTTGGTACTGATTTTTGTTTTGTCGCATAAAAGAATTTAGACATTAGCAAGTTAATTAGCTTATATTTAATGCAAATGTAAAATCAGAATATGTTATTGTGAGGGCAAAAAGAATATGTTAAAGTACATAGTATGGTTCATGGCACATAAAATAAATAAATGTTAATTATTCCTCCTTTCTTTTCCCTATCATAAAATGAAGTGACATTAAAATTTCTGATTATTCATGAAAATCCCTAAATAGAACCAAGCGTGGCATATGCCTATAATCCCAGCACGCAGGACCCGTGAGGCAGGAGCATTGCTTGAGCCTAGGAGTTTAAAACCAGTCTGTGGCTGGGGCTTTAGCTCAGTGGTTCTGCTGCCTGCCTTGCAAGTGAAGGGACTCGAGTTCGATCTCCGGTACCAAAAAAATAAAATAAAATAAAACAAAACCAGCCTGACAACATAGCAAGAACCTGTCTTAAAAAAAAAAGAAAAGAATTAAAAAGTAAAAAATAAATCTTTAAATGATTATCTGGAGTATTGTGATTGTTTAAAATATTTTTTAGGGCAGGGGATTTAGCTCAGTGGTTCCACCGCCTGCCTCGCAAACGCAAGGTCCTGAGTTTGATCCCCTGTACCAAAAATATATATATATATATATATATTTTTTTTTTTTTTTAATTATTTTTCCCAAATTTCTTTTTCAGGTGCTAGTGGAGACCATGTTTATACACAAAGTTATGATGCTCAAAGAGAGGATTTTGGTGCCCATGATGCAACAAAACTGGATACCTGGGTTTTTGATAATGTTAAGGTGTGTGCTAGTAAATTGTCGATCTACAAAACACATATTTACCTAAAGTATTGGAAACTGATTTGTTAGTAAATGTATAGGTTTTTTCAGCTTGTATAAACTTCCTGTGTGGCACATAGACACATATATTAATTTAGATTAGCTTCAGCTGTGCATAGTAGGGGAAAAAGTGACTTAAAAGTGTATTTCTCTCTTGGTAAACATAACGCCAGAAATAGGCAGCCAGGGATTGGCTGTATGGTCAGAACGCTGTGTGGTCAATAAGACCCAGTGTCCCAAAGTTCTTCTCTATGTTCCGAGCATAAGTTTTATCTGCAGGGTCATGTCACAATCTTAAGAAAATACTGGAGTTCCAGTCATCATTTTAGGTTTTAGGCCAACAGTATGAGGATAAAAAGGACCTTCTCTCCTACCGAATTATTGCAAGAAAAGATGGAAAATGTGTAGGTTTTAAGTTTTGAGATGTCTCTTAAGAGCAAAGTTTTTTACTCAAGGAGAAATGGAGAATGCATTTTGGGCTATTCATGAAGCAGTCTCCAGGATACATAGTAAATATTTGTTGGGTACAGAAATTAATGAGTGGTTTGAATACAAGGAGACCATATAAAGTAGAGCCTTAAAGGCTAAAGTACACTAAGCATTGGGAAAGAAGCTAGGAGCATATTTTACCTCTTAAATCCAGAATATCAAAATACAATGGGAATCTAGCAGGAGAGAGAGGTTAACTTCTCCCAAATTTTGTATCATAGCTTCACAAACCTTGTACCCATATGCAAATGAACAGTACTTTTTACATAGCTGAATATTTTTTTACCAGTTATGGAATAAATTATAAATTTAACTCATCAGATGTTTTTGTTGTTATTAGTGTTAGCTTTCAATTAGGTTTAGAATTTAACTCCTTTTTTAAAAATTTGCCTTTCCCATCTAGATTTAAAATTTCTTAGGGGCTAAGTAGAATGTATATGAAGTTGGCAATTTTATACTTTTGAGGAGAATGATAGGAGATTACATGCTTTAGAATTTTCCATTCTTGAACAGTTAATTTCTCTAATGCACCATTTGTGTTTTTTATCATTTGTAATAATGAATTCTTTGAAAAAAATACTTAAAATGTGTTAGGCTTTTGCTGAAAAGTTAAACATCACTGTTAAAGTTAATATCCCTTTAGAGATATTTATGTTGACAATTATATATCTTGACATGGTCTGTTGACTTATTTAAAATAATTTATAAATACTCTCCATAGGTACTTAAATACACATTCATGTGTATGTGAGTACAGATGACTCATTTGGCTTGTGGCTTTATGGATCCATTTTGTCATAATGAAATTAACAAATTTTGAACTGTATTTCATTAAGTTCTATCATTCTATCAGACAGTGTGAAAAACAGATTCTAGTAGAGGCAAAGGAAGTAGTTGGGAGATTGTTTCTGTTGTTTTAAATGAGAGATTATTGTTGGACTAAAGTGGTGCAGACAGGACAGTGAGAAGTGGTCCAGCTCTGAGGATATTTAAAAATAATAAATTCTTTTTAAACTGTTATCACTATCTGTTTTGTTTTTAATTCATGCCAAAATATTTCTTCAATCTATTGTATTTTATTACATTAAATATGTGTAAAAATGATTTTAAATCTTCATGAAATTAAGATCTCCTTTTTATAACCTCTTTAGGCCTAACTGTAACAGAAAATAGCTGACTTATCTGAACATAGTTATTTGAACTGTTAACTAAGACTTTCTGTTGGTAGATCTGGAGGACAAAGTGAATGATGATAATTTAATTTTGTAGTGATAAATAAATTTAATTAACTGTTTTCATCAGTAGTGCTTCTTAAATAAAA